GAAATTATCAAAAAAATAATATAAATCAAAATTCAATTAATAAATAATATATTTGTGCTCTAAGTAAATCTGTTCAGCACATAAAAAATACATTATTCTAGCATTGTTAATTTTAATTTTCTTAAAAATTTAAAAAATAGATGTTTAATTTTAAATTTTTTATCAAAAATCCAAAATTAAAAATCTTTTCTTTAAATTTTAAGGTATTATATATTAATAAAATTTTAATATATATTGCTTTTTTTAATAATTTTATTAGTAAAATTATAAAAATACTATAATTTTTAAAATTTTATTTTGACAATATATAAAACTCTCACCGATGATCCCTTGTACTGAAATTTTTGGGAAGAATCCAACTTGAAAAACAAGAAACCTGATATACAATACTATCTAGCTAAATAAATGAAACCATAAGCCAGCACCTATTGTTTAGAGGTAGCTCTCATATGCTACCTGCCAGTAGGCTTAGAGTTTATTACTCACTGCAAGGATAGCAACTGTCATTTAGAAGTAGTTATTATATGCTACTTGCTGACAGCCTTAGAGTTTATCACTCACCAAAAAGAAGAGTTCTCTCTGGGTTGAGTATATTGGGGCCTGGCCTGGTAACTTTCACTCCTTAGTACTGAAAAGACTAAGTATGATAACAAAAACCCTCAAACACCACCCCCCACTTGGTATGACAACAAAAAATTTAGAAAAAGTAAGCAAAACAGCTTACCTCTATCAAAAGATCGATATTGTTTACAATTACCAAATTTGGATGATACAGTGGAGTACAACTACGTACCCTGGCCAAACAAGAAAATGGTGCCACTATTTCGAACCAGACTACCTCAGAAATCCCTCATGGAAGTTTTGAATATGCATAATGGTGGCAGCAACCACTTTAGGGACAGGACCCAGAGCTATAAAGGCTAGAAATTTCTGATTTTATATGGTAAAATAAAATTAAGGTTAAGGCTTAACATTACATTAGAGATATGCAAATGTTATATTTGTCATATAATTTTTACACAAACCTGGCATGGATTATAATAGTGTGTGTTGGGATCTCCTAATCTTTTTTTATGCTTTTTTTATCTTTGTTTAATTATGATGGAATCTTATTTAGGATATGCTCTTTGTGTATTCTGTTTGGTTTATCCTTTTTTCTTCTAGATGTAGTCTTTCTCTTGTAAATGTGATATATATGATCTTAGCTTGTAGAAAAGTAGGAGATAATTATTCTGTCTGGACCTAGGTGGGAAAAGTTTTAAAGAAAGAACAGAAGATCCTGACACGATATACAACAACTATGCAAACACATATTTGCAATATTAGCATGAAACCATATAGATGATAAAAGTGTGCTGAATAAGATCAACTACCCATGGAAAATGATCCTTCTAATACTTATGTTCTTTCTACAGATAACAATGATAAAGATGCTCAATTTGCAAAGCTACATGAAGATCTTGTTGTAATTTCTATAGAATGGCAGAAGAGAAAGAATTACCAGAATTGAATCGGTTCTACAATATACCATTGTTGACGAACAAAGAACCAAAATAAATTGAATTGCTCCAAATACATAAATCAGAAGTCAAAATAAGTATTAAGTTTCCTTTTTTTTTTTTTGTATACGTATTTATTTAAATTTAACACTGATTAGATTTGTTTGAAAATTCAGTAGCATTAATTGTTTATTAGTTCGCAACTAAAATAGTTTATATATTAATTCGCAAACTGAAATATTTTAATTGTTATTCGCAAATTGAAATAGTTTATTATTAATAATTAATTCGCAAATTGAAATATTATAATCATTTGTACTCGAAGCAAACAAATGTAATTTATAATAAGAACTTTTTATTTCGAACTAATGGGTCCATTAAAATTATGAGAATTAATAATGTTCGCTATTTTTGTAAGTTTTTTATCAAGGAGGTTATTTGCATTTGATTGTATTTTAAAATTTGTCGAAAGTTTGTACTTCATTTTCAATAAATAAACGTTCTCGATCGAATAAAAATTTTTATAACGATAAGAAATTTTGCTTAAGCACCTAACATATATCACATTTTTTACTTGAGCTACCAATTTTTTTTAGGACCTTGTGGCTGTGCTAAGGGTAACATGATCTATTTTATCCAATAGGAGATGTATTTCATATGCCCAATCAAAACTTGGGAGAAATTAGGGCTCCAATACGCATGTGCTTTATCTTATACACAACTTCTTTGCTCACTCATATAACTATTTGCATTACTCTTTAACAGCTGTACATCAGTTTACAATATACGTACTGGATTGATATAAGAAATTAAAACTCTATATCGATATAGAAACATTAAAACAAATTTCTTTAACGTTAAATTATCAATTCAATAAAGTAAACGATCTAGAATTCACAATCCCTTAGCATAAAAATATACGCCATATTACGTACGTACGTAGCAACTTTTTTTATATTATACAAATAACAAATTTAACTTAAGGATAGATCTACACTGTGCTTAACAACGCTATATATGTGTACAATTGGTGACTCATGACTTTATCGTACATAAATGATAATTTTTACATCTTTTATATAAATTATTCTTGTTGTACTCAATAATCAAAATTTTTTTTAAGATGGCAATAAAATTCTTTGAAGAACTTTCGAGTAATTATCTTAAACTTCTTGACGATAAAGAAGATTTTAATACAAACATTATTGTCGGTGAATCTCAAAACTCCAAAACATTTCAGGCACATTCAGCAATTTTGAAATCTAGATCTTTATATTTTTATAAAGAATTGATGAATATCGATAAAGATAAGAATAATATTAAAACAATTAATTTAAAAAATGTTACTATTCAACAATTTGAAATTATTATCAAGTAAGTTATATTTTATATGTTATCATTCGCAATTCTATTTTAGTATTTACAAGAAATTTAATATACATAATTTTTATACAAAGATATATCTACGGAGGTGTAATCTTACTCGAAGATCTTGAAACTTCATTTATCTTTGATCTTATGTTTATTGCTTATGAATTTCTTTTAGAAGAATTGGCTCAGTACCTTCAAACTCACTTAATTGAAAAGGAAGCTCATTGGCTTCGTTTACATTTTAGTAATGTTTATCAAAAAAGTTTTCAAAATAATAAGCTTCAAGAATTACAAAAATGGTGTAATGATATTGTGGCAAAATATCCTGATAAGGTTTTTGATTCTGAAGACTTTATTTCGCTTCAAGAAAATGCATTAATCTCAATAATTAGTCGAGATGATTTACAAATGGAAGAAGTGAAAATTTGGAATCATGTTATAGATTGGGGAATTGCTCAAAATCCTGGCCTACCATCTGATCCTGAAGATTGGTCCAATGAGAATTTTCTAGCATTAAAGACTATTTTACAAAATTGTTTACCTCTTATCCGTTATTTTCAAATGTCTAATGTTGATATTGCTAGTCATGTGCAACCATATGAACAAATTCTTGATAAAAAACTTTGGAAAGATATAGTAAAATATATGGCCAACCTACCAACATCATCTACTGTTCTTCCGCCTCGTACAATTTTAACACCAACTTTACCAATTAGAGAACCATTTTCATCAGTTATTAACGAAGAACACGCTGCGGAAATTGCTTCATGGGTTGATAAGAATGATAATATGTATTCAGTAATGAATAACCCATACGAATTTAAATTACTTCTTCGTGGATCCAGAGATGGTTTTACCAAGGATTCATTTTGGAATTTATGTGATCAGAAAATACGTCTTGTTGTAATTATAAAAGTTAAAGGTACTGATGAAATTCTTGGTGGATATAATCCCATTGGTTGGAATAAACAAGAGCATAGTCAATATAAGGAATCTAATGACAGTTTTATTTTTTCATTAAAAAATGGTACTATTCAAAATTCTATTTTAAGTCGTGTGAATAGTTCAGCACATGCAATTATCTGTTATAATGCTTACGGACCACTTTTCGGTTCTGGATGTGATCTTGCTATGTATGAGAATTTTAATCAAGATAAAACATGTTGGCTTATTCCTTCATATGCATATGGAGGGATAAAAATTAGAAGTGCAGATAAATACGAGTTAGTTAGTACTACAATATCATATTTTTCAGCAGAGGAATATGAAGTATTTCAATTGAATCAAAAGTCATAAAAGTTTTACACTAATTTTGTAATCACGGCTTAAATTTTAGATGTGTTTTACAAAAGAGTAAATTTATTATTTGTATTTCATGTAACATGCAATAATGTATTTAAAATAAGTAACGGTTTTATAAATATATAATAAATTGTTGCAAATTGAATAAGGAATTTTGTGTGCAAAACTAAAATCTAAATTATGTAAGTTGAAGTTTAGAAAAATGATGCTAATCAAATATTTATAGTTTAAAATATATCAAAATCAATTGGATATGAATCTTACAACACGATGTACTAACAATTTAGAAACTCAAGTACTATATTATAGTATTATCCAAAAAGTAATTTAATTTGAAGAGAGCTACGATTGATTTACCCGAAGAATTTTTTCAATTTGCTTATTTCTGTTTTCGTTTACTTGGATATTGATTTGTTTGCGATACCCGTGAGTCCCCTTCATTACAATAGTATAGTAATATCAATTAAAACATGTATTATTGTACAAACTAAATAAAGTTTTTTTTAGAAGGATAGTCAAAAAATAAAAGCAATTTTTTGGAAATATTGAATTAATTTGCGTTCACACTAAAAAGCAAAATAAAATGTAACTGAATTATGAGCGACAATGTTAATTCGATGAATATTTGAAGATAATATTTCAAGCAAATAATCTGGAGTGATTCATTTTTGAAAGGGCATAAAATAAATGAAATCAATTTTTATTAAAAAAAAAAAACCAATAATTCAAATAAATGACATAGTTTTTTAAAAAAAAATTAGTCAATCTTAAATAAGTATACAGTAAAAACAATTTATGTTTTAAAAAAAAGACTTTATAAATTCATGACTATCCACCATCCTTGACCAAATATCCTTCCATGAATGCTTTCAATTCATCAATTTCATCTTCAAACACTGCACTAGCAATGTACAAATCAGGTCGAACAAGTATTAAAGCTTGCTTTCCGACTTCTTTAGTTATGCCATATTTTTCATGCAATTCAAATCTGGATTCAACAAATATATGTTGCTCTCTGCCTTCTTCTTGGAATGGCATGAATGGTACATCTGCAGTCTGGATAGCGCCTGAATATGAAATGATAACAGGCGTGATAGTGCTTTTATAATCGGTATAGATCTTCAACAACGTATTAACAAGTGGATTATAATCAGCAGTAACTCCCTTGGTTAGAGTAAACAATATTAAAATGTGTTTCAATGCCATTGAACGAAAAATATCAAATAAAGTTATGCGATCATTATTTTTGTTAAAAATTATTTTCTTTAATAGTCCATCTATTGCGTAATGACCTGCTTTGATCAATTTGTTTTCAGTGTTTGAGCGAGGTTTATACCTATGAAGGATCCCGGATGTCTCAGGAAAGTAATTAATTTCAGTTTGATATATACTATTTGGGAAATTCATTTTAATTTGAGGAAAGAAATGAAACATGAAAGGAGCTACGCGCGTTCGGATGAATGTACTAATAATATCATTACTACCCAAAAGTTTTGTTACAAAACCGGCACCCGCAATTAAATTTTTACCAACGGAATATCGTTCTTGTTCATAACTATCAAGAAGTTTATTAACGTCAACTGCCTGATTCTTAATAGCTAGAACCAATTTGAATGCCAAGTTATGAGCGTCTTGAATTCCTAAATTCATGCCTTGACCACCAACTGGCGAATGACAATGAGCAGCATCTTTTTTTAAATACAAAATTATAGATGTTGCATTATTTATAATTATTGTGGTGGTGCAAACATATAAAGAGTAAAACTTATTTACCTCCAGCGACAAATGCACGTCCCGTTCGATATCTATTCACAATTCTTTCATTAATCCTGAAATTAGAAATCCATGTTGGATTCTTTAGTTCAAGTTTAATCGGGGCAATTCTCTCATCAATTAGTTTCTGCATCTCATCCAGAGTAATGCACGTTTCATTTGTGAGTCCATGTGTAACCCTATCGTTAGTTTCATTTTTGTTCTCTTCTTCAGCAACTTTGACAACAACGCGAACAGTATTTTTTCTGGCATCCAACGGTATTATCATGACAGGGCCTTGTATAAAATATTTATAAAAAAATATTTATTTGACGAAAAAACGCAACATGAAGTATTAAGCACAAAATATTGCAATAACGTAGTACCTTCACCATGCATAAAAGAAGTTGTTTGATCGTATTTAACTAATTCATGATCAATTTCTACGTCGGCTAAAGCCCATGAAGATTTCAGTGTTTGACCTATAAGAAAATTTTTTGAATGGTACGAATATTAAATATAGTGGTGAATATTTTGAATTAATTACGACTGCTTTTACTGCTTTTATATTGTATTTAATCTTACCTTCATAAGTCCATCCACTTATTCCTTTTCTGACACTGGAATGTACACCATCACATCCGACTAAATAACGACAATGGATTTCTTCTTCCATGTTATTATTTAAGTTCTTTACAATAGCGATAATTTGATCTTCCTCCTCTTTGTAACTCAATAGCTCCATGCCGAATTCAACATTAGGAACATTTTTCTTTCCCATTGATTTCTTTTTGTTTAAAGCATCAAGTAAATATTCTTCAGTCTTATTTTGACGATTCAATAATCCAAAGGGAAAAGAGCTGTTCATGCTGCTAAGATCGATCTTAATCGAGTTATTAACGTTTTGGTATATGAAAATATGTTTCAATTTGACACCATGTTCAAAAAATGGATCGATAAGACTCCTAAAAGAAATAATAAAAATATGAATAAATAAACATAAGTATATACATTAATTGAATTTTAAAGAATGGATAATGGATATGAAAATTGCCTATTATCAAAAATTTCCAAAGTTCTGGGCGCTATCAAGAGAGCCTTTGAAAAATTTGAATGCGTTTTGATCTTATCGATGATACGGAAATTGATTTCAAATTCAGCTAATTCATTAGCCAGGAATAAACCAATGGGACCTTTTGACCAAAAAAAAATATTTATATATATATTCAATGATGTTAAAAATCTTCTAACTTTTAGCTCGAAAATGCTTTTACCTGCACCACAAATTAGCACGTCACATATCTCTTCTTTGAATAATGTCGCCATGATTATAGTTTTTTTTTAAGAAAAATTTTAATAAAATCTAATCTGCCAATATTCTCAAGTTACTCGAGTTATAGCTATTTATTATTTACACGTCCGGTTTTTAGATTGGGTGTCTCGAAAAATATACGGGTAGGAAGGGAGTCTTGGTCCTTATGAGGATTGGTGCGCTTATGCCCGTGGCGTGCTTTTTATGTTCATCCTAACAATGAGGAAATATTATTAGTAATCATATAAGTAACTGCTGCGCAATATAACTGCGCAATATAACTGCGCAACATGACTGTGCAACATGACTGTGCAACATAACTGTGCAACATAGCTGCGCAAAACCTGAATGAATACCGATCAGGGACCCCGGACGTTGATAGCAAAAATAGCTAGCAAAAATAGCTAGTGAAATTAGCAAATTTAGTAAATTTAGCA